AAAGGGGGAGAGTCCACAGCCTCCCTGGACAGCCTGTTCCAGTGCTCTGCCACCCTCAATGTAAAACATTCCTCCTCATGTTACAGTGGAACTTCTTGTCTTTTAGTTTACAGTCACTGCTCCCTGTCCTGTCACTGGGCACCACCAAAAAGAGTCTGGCACCACGTTTTAACATCCACCTTTGGGAGATCTGTACATATTGATGAGATCCCCTCTCAGTCTTTACTTCTCCAGACTAAACTGGCCCAGCTCCCACAGCCTCTCCTCATAAGAGAGATGCTCCAGATCCCTGATCATCACTGTGGCCCTCCACTGGACTCTCTACAGTACCTCCACATCTCTCTGGTACTGAGAAGCCCAGAACTGGACACGGCACTCCAGATGTGGCCTCACTAGGGCCGAGTAGAGAAGCAGGATCACCTCCCTCAGCCTGCTGGTAACACTTCCCAATGCACCCCAGGGTACCACTGGCCCTCCTGGCTGCAAGGGCTCACTGCTGTCAATTTGTCATCCACCAAGACTCCCAGGTCCTTCTCTGCAGAGCGGCTCTGGGACTGGTCAGTCCCCAGCTGCACTGGTACTTGGGGTTATTCCTCCCCAGGTGCAGGACTGTAAACTTGTTGGCCTTGTTGAATCTCATTGGGTTTCTCTCTACCCAGCTCTCCAGCCTATCAAGGTCCCACTAAATGCAGCACAGCCTTCAGGTGTATCAGCCACCGGCCCCAGTTGATTGCCATCAGCAGACTTGCTGAGGGTGCACTCAGTCCCTTCATCCAGGCTGTTGATAAAGAAGTTGAATAAGGCTGGACCCAGTATTGATCCCTGGGGATCCCAACTGGACTCTGCTCCACTCATCACAACATTCTGAGCTCTGCCATTAAACAGTTCTTGATTCACCTCACTGTGTATTCATCTAACCCACATATCCTGAGCTTACCGACGAGGATGTTGTGGGAGGAGTGTGGAAAGCCTTGCTGAAGTCAAGGTAGACAACATGCCCTCATTGACCCCTCCTGCCATGCCATCACAGAAAGCTATCAGATTGGTCAAGCAGGATTTCCCCTCTGTGAATCCATGCTGACTATTCCTGATGACCTTCTTGTCTTTTACAGGCTTTGGGATGACCTCCAGAATGATCTGTTCCATCACCTTGCCAGGGACTGGGGTCAGATTGACTGGCCTGTAGTTTCCCAGGTCCTCCTTCTTGCCCTTTTTGAATGGGAAGTAACATTGGCTTTTCTCCGGTTGTCAGGCACCTCTGGTGTTCTCCATGATTTTTCAAAGATGATGGAGAGTGCTTTAGCAGCAACATCTGCCAGCTCCCTCAGCACCTGTGGGTGCATCCCATCAGGGCCCGTGGATTTATGGTGGTAAATCTGCCTCACCAATCTCTACCCAACCCTCTGCAACCAAGGGGAAGTCTTCCTTTCTCCAGCCTTCTTCTCTTACCTCTAAGGTCTGGGATTCCTGAAGGCTGGCCTCTGCAGTAAAGACTGAGGCAAAGAAGGCATTCAGTAATTCCACATGCTCTGTGTCTTCCACCACCAGGTTACGCATCTGATTCAGCAGCAGCCCCACATTTCCCTTAATCTTCCTTTTGCTGCTGAGGTACTTATTGAAGCCCTTTGTGTTGTCCTCAATATCCTTTACTGGACTCAATTCAAGGTGGGCCTTGGCCTTCCTCATCACATCCCTGCATATCTGACAGCATTCCTATGGTCTTCTGACTTGGCCTGTCCCTTTTGCCACATCCCAGAAATTTTTTTCTTCTGTTTATGATTTGGTAGATGCTCACCACTCATCCATGCAGGTCTCCTGCTGTCTTTGTTCGATTTCTTGCTCATGGGGATACACTAGTCTTGAGCTTGGAGGAAGTCATGCTGAATATTAATCAACTCTCTTGTACTCCCTTCTCTTCTAGAGCCCTACTCATGGGATTCCTCTAAGTAGTTCTTTGAAGAGGTTGAAGTTAGCTCTCAGGAAGTTTAGGGTTCTAGTCCCATTTAATGCTTCGCTTCCTTCACACAGGATCCTGCATTTCACCATCTCATGGTAACTGCAGGCAAGGCTGCCCCCAACCATCACATTTTCAACCAGTCCCTCCTAGTTTGTTAGTACAAGGTCCGGTAACACACCTTTCCTTGTGGGCTTTTCGGCCACTTGTGTCAATAATAGGTGTGTGCCGAGCCATGTTGCCCCTTCAACAAATATCAGGGTGGTTGAAGTCCCCCAGCAGAACCAGGGCCTGTGATCATGAGGCTGTTTCCAGCTACCCATAGAAAGCTTCATCAGCTTCCTCCTCCTGATCAGGTGGCCTGCAGTAAACACCCACAATAGTATCACCCATATTAGTCTGTCCCTTAATTCTTACCCATAAGTTCTCAACTCATTTGTCTGTCCCTGGATGTAGCTCATTATATTCCAGTTGCTCTCTCACATAAAAAACAACTCCACCACCTCGCCTTGCTGACCCAGCCTTTCTAAACTTAAACCATTTTGTGATTGCAACTACAAAATACTAAGACAGCATTGCAATGGGTGCTACAGTCCTGATTATTTAAAGTGCAAAAGCATAACCTGCACAGAGAAAGGGTTACTTCTGTGTACTACTACTGCCTGTAGTCAAAGAAATCCATGAAACCAGAACAAATGGCCTAAGAAAACCAAGTTCACCTAGATGAAGAAAAAGCTGGGATACACCCACGGGCACCATATTGTGCTGGATTGTAAAGTCTGTTTAATGTCCTTTTTAGTCTGTTTCTCATAATTTTATTAACTAAGTTTGCTCATAGATTGAGCTAATTTGTGTAGACAAGTGAGCAAAAGGAGAAGAGCACTGCTCTACCAAGGGTTTTTGGAAGAGACAGGGGAGGAAGAGGTGGGTTGAGTGTGAAGAGTTGTCTCTGATGAACAACAGTGAATGGGTTGAAAGCCTGTTGGGAAGAATCAGAGATTGAGGCAACAAAGGAAACCTCGTGGTTGGTGTCTACTACAAGCCCCTGATCAAGGGAAGGCTATTGATGAAGCCTTGTTGCTCCAGCTACAGGAGGCATCATGTTCACAGGCTCTTGTCCTGCTGGGACTTCAACCACCCCAGCATCAGCTGGAAAAGTAGCACAGCATGCTGTAGGCAATCCAGAAGACTCCTGGAATGCATAGATGATAATGTCTTGAGCCAGTATTAAGCAGACCTACCAGAAGAAATGCAACAATGGACGTGAGGGTTACAAACATTAAGTGAGCTTGTCAGGGACATCAGGACTGGAGGCAGCCTGGGCTGCAGTGATCATGCATTAGTGGAGTCCTCAGTCCTGAGGCATATGAGTCAGATAAGGAGTAAAGTTAGGCCCCTTTTAGGAAAGCAAACTTTCAGCTCTTCTAGAAGACAGTCAATATGATCCCCTGGGAGACTGCCCTCAGAGGCAAGGGAGTGGAACAGAGTTGGCAGACCTTTAAGGAAGTCTTCCATAGAGTGCAAGAGCTAGCAATCCCCAGGAGCAAGAATTTAGGCAAGGCAGGCAAGAGACAGCATGGCTGAGTAGGGAACTGCTGGTCAAAAAAGATGGAAAGAAGCAGATGCATAGTCAGTAGAAATGAGGACAGATAATGTGGAAAGAGTATAGAGATGAAGTTTGGTTGTGTAGGGATGGGGTGAGGAAGGCCAAGGTGAAGCTAGAACTAAACCTTGCAAGGGAAGCAAAGAATCACAAGAAGGGCTTCTACAGGTATGTTAATCAGAAAAGTAAGGTCAAAGAAGGTATATCTGCACTGATAAACAATGTTGGTAAGCTGATAACAATGGATGAAGAGAAAGCTGAGATACTCAACAACTTTTTTGCCTCAGTCTTCAATGGCCACCTCTCTTCCCACACCTCTTGAGTGGGTGGACAGTAGAATGGGGACTGAGGAAGCAGCTGAGCAGTGCGGTTCTGTCCTGGTAGCCAAGCTATCTAATTCTCCCTCTACAGCTACATTTACTAGAAATTACCAGTGTTTTTTACATAAAAATTGTGAGTCAGCTGAATTGAACCTACACATGTGAAGCAAAGCTCCCACCTTTTGTGTTAAAATGGTCATACACTTTTGTGTTCTTTCTTATTTCCATGTGCATCTGTCAAACTTTGAAATTGCTGGCAAGCACTACTAATGGGCATTTTAATTCTTCCATTTTCAAATGCCAAATTTTCCACAGGTGAAGACTTGTTTGATAGCCACAGTTTCAAAGAATTGGATCTTTCACTTTTGCTTTTTTTTTTTTTTTCACAGCATTAGTATGTTTTGCTGTAAAAAGGTCATTAAAAACAACTGCAGGATATAACTGTTTTGGATTTGGATTAGGAATCAACATGTAGGAATAAATGACAACAGCATGAATATTTAGACTGTGGCATCTTGGACTCAATCTGTAGCTTGTTAGCTGACATGTGGGTCTGAGCAAGACCAACTGATCTTAGGCTGCACTACCTCCTCTTATTTGTCTGCCCATATTGAACATGTTAAAGGAACTTAGCCTCAGGCACACACGGAAATATGAAGGTTTGGCATTACATTTTATCAGCCCATGGTGCAATGGATCACAGTGGCTGGATTTGATGTTTTACTTCTAATCAAAGAAAAAGACCTGTATCTTCCTCTCCTTACATTCTTTAAAAGGCAGGTTTTGCCAATGGTGAACTTATTCTGCAATATCTGAATGCATTGAAAATAGAAAATTCAAAAGTGTATCTAACTCTCTGATATTTTGGCTTCTTTCCATGCTAAACATATACTATGGTGAAGATTAATTTATGGCTGGAGGGTAAAAAATATCTTTGTTTCTCTGGCTAACACAGCTTATTTTCCACTAAAGATTCCACAAAACATCTGCAAGAGCTGCTGAATTCCACACTTTTTACCAATATTTACATAGGCTTTTCATTGAAAACTTGAATTCTTTCTGCACCATTCAGTATCAATTCCAGTCCATTCTCCACTTTCGCTGTTTATCACAAAACATGCATTCATGTTTAATTGAAGTTTATTGCCAGGAAAATTAATTCTAAGAACAGAATGAAACATTTTCTTTAACTGAAATACAATGTGTAACAATTCAAACTTCTTTAAGCAACAGTTCTACCTGCTTTGATTTTTCTTCCAAAATAAATGGTCTTGAAAAAATGTCAAGTGAAATGACATCGCTGAAGGACAATGGCCAGGACTTGCAGGGGACTTGCAGGCCAGTAGCCAGCCAGGCCTACAAACCCACAAAACAGCTTGACATGCAATGCTTTGTAATGCCGAGTTTCTCACCATGAGCTACGGTAAATTCAGTTCCAGGTATTTAGCCCAGTACCTCTATGTTTATCCAACAGTAAGCAGTTGAAATATTTGTGACTAACATCAGCCTGCTGCCACCTTCTGGTGAAAAGTTAGGACATTAAACAATCGCAAATGCAATTGTTCCCCTTATCTTTGAATTTCATCCCACAGTAAAGCAATGTGATATTACTGGTGCAGTAATTACTTAGAGAGAAACAAGCAGGTTAGTGATCTCACAGGGATTAAGGACCCTCTTCATAAATCCCTTTTAAGTGACCCTTCACCATATGTACAATAATCTGGACAGTGACTGTCAAAAGGATGAAGTGCCTTCAGCATTAAGTAGTAATTATTATTTTACTTGGAAAAATACACCAATACAACAACAACAAAATACACTTCAGAAACCATCTACGTGTATGCGCTGTAAATAGGAGAGACAAAATCACCACTAAAGTCAGGAAAGGCAGAATTTGATACTGAATAGGCAAAATCAGGTTATGTTATAAATAGACACCACTCCACCCATTTCTCCTACCAGCTACTCTTCACACTTGCCTGCTCTTTGCCCAAAGCATATGCAGCTGGGAAATGTTCCTCACAAAGTGATAAGTCCTGGGACATGAGAAATCAATATATGATAATTACAAGAGGAGATGTGCAATTCACATGCCCAAGTTTCCACTTCCCATATTTGCAATGATGAGCAGGAAATTCTTCAGCCAACTTATCCAAGGTAACGATAAGGAATACAGAGGAGGAAATTATCTTAAGCGCACTGAGGTTTTAGTTTTGATGCTTGGAATATCCAGCAGAAAGATGATGGCAATTTGCAGTCCCTTAACCCATTTAATCCAACCATAACTAGCTTTTGATGAACCGAAGTTGACTAAAATGAAAAACTATTATTTAGAGTGCCACCATTTCAAACATTTAGATGAACGTGCTCACAGTAAGGTTACTTAGAGGGCAATGCTGCCATAAGTCAACAGAGCATTGAACATTACTAGGGATACAACATGCAGCTCTGAAAATTTCTCTTGACACACCAAGCAACAAAAATGTCAGATGCATAATTTCCAGAATGCTTTACAAGGCTGAAAAAAATAATACAGTACTCATATGCATACAGCCACTCCTTTCCTTTCCACGACACTTAGGAAATAGGAAATACAGGCCTTCTGGTACACTCAAACATAAGCTTCACCACGGCCTGAAAAGCAAAGAAAATTGACTGAAGGTCACAAGTTCACATCTGACTTCAGAAACCACAACATCTATACCAGTACCTATCTTAAAAACTCTGCCAAGAGCAACTATCTGTGCCATCATAACACTGATCCAAGTTGTAATAGAAAAAACCAGTAATTTTTGACAGCTGCTTATTAGAAGGTACTGATGGAAACAATCCTTGAAAATCAGTTGATTTTTTGACAATGTAATGAGAATATTTTTCTTTGACTTTAATAGCAGCTGTGCTTCTGTGTTCATCTGTCCTCAATTTTTCACTTTTTAATAATTTAAGGTTTTAATATTCTACTCCATGTTTTGGCATTTTTTGCTTCTACAGTGCCATGTTCATGCCTCTGAAAGAAGTGAGAACACCTGATATTATAAAAACTCTCTTCTGAATCCACTTGCGTTACAATTTAGTGTTTCTATTTTTCTACTCAGTAAACTTCTTCAAAATTTCTATTTTGAAATTATGTGTAAATATATATATATTAATTTAACCCTTTTACTTATGCAATACTGTGAGAAAACACCAACAGATCATTAAACCATAAGTCCTTGATAAAGTCAGGATTTTTTGTCAGTTCCAAAAGCATTATCCACTAGTTTTCTAGATTTTACTCTTCTGATTCTCTCCCATTATGTGCAGAAATCCACTGACAGAACTGTACTTGCATTTTTCAACGCTCAGTGAACTAGAGACTTTCAAATATGTTCTTTTAGATTTACTTCTCAATAAAAATAGACTGATGTATGTTCAGTACAGACAGCAGATACACAGGACAGACTGCAAGTTTATGTGCTATCCTTTATGTAATTGTAGTGCAATCTGTGGTTTTTCATAACTACAGATTATTGGATATGGTACTACCAAACACTGTAGTACTTGACACTATCACAGAATCACAGAATCTGTCAGGTTGGAAAGGACCACAGTGGAACATCTGGTCCAAACTCCCTGCTCAAGCAGGGTCATCCTACAGCACATGGCACAGAATCACATCCAGATGGTTCTTGAATCACCAGTGAGGGAGGTTCCACATCATCTCTGGACCATCTGTTCCAGTGCATGATCACCCACGCAGTTCTTTCACATATTCAGGCGGAACTTCCTGTGCACTGGTTTCTGCCCATTGCCATTGCTGTTCTGTTGCTCAGCACCACTGAAAAGAGCCTGGCTCCACCCTCCTGAGACTTCCCTTCAGGTGCTTGAACACACTGATGAGGTCCTCTTTCAGTTCTCTCTTCCTGAGGCTGAACAGGCCCTACTCTCTCAGTCTATCATGTTGCTCATGATATAATAAATATCACTGTACTTGGAGGAAAGATATTCCAGATACTTCATCAAACCTTTATGAGCAACGTTTATAAGCTTTGGCAAGAAAACTTTAGTATAACCTTACAAAGTAAAAAAAGAGACCAAGGAGCATAGAAGTTCATAAACCTGTCCTTTTGGAACTTGCCTGGCAAGGATGGGCAAACTTAAACTGTGAAACACTGTCTGCTTTGCAGTGCTGCACAAAATTATGGCATATTCTCCTCTGGAGAGTAAAGCAAGGTAGTTGCACTGTGTCTTTCAGCTAATGATAATCCAGTGCACCTAACTTCAGAAGCCCAAATTACATATTATTAGTAAGTTAAATGGAAGAATCTTTTGATTAGGAGGTTCATGAGAAACTTAATTTCCCCATGCTTAATGGGCAAGAACTTCTGAATGGTATTTCATCACAGGTACCTTAAGACATTTAACACTGTACATTAGGAATATTGTATTCATCTTCAGCAAACATCCAGGTTTAAAGAAGTCACAGAAATATATACAGAGTTGTATTTGTGGCTGCTGGTAACACCCTGATGTTCTCAACTTCCCCTTGCTAATCAGTAAATCATTGCTCTACAAGAGAATTTAATCCAGAATTTTAATCTAATTATGATGGCCTTCTGATATAAGCCTAACCAAAAATTACCTAAGTATCAGAAACAAACCAGTGTACAGGTGAGCTATTACTTATAATGCAAAGACCATAGTGTTGTACTTAACTGTAAGGAGTAAAGATTCTGCTTTCATACATATAACTTGGACTGTGAAGGTCAGTTGTTCATAGGAAACTCTTAGCTGTCACTTTTTAATCCTGAATTGTCAATGTTGTAGTAACCCAAAATACAGTTTGATTTTTGTTAAGACAGGCCATGCTCAAGGTATTATCCACATCCTTACATGTAGCTACTCTACTAACTCATCTAGCTACCTGGGCAACATTTGTGAGGTCACCAGCACCAAGCTCTAGAGCCCAGGTCTGTAAAAAACACAGCTGGGCCTGTTCCAGAGAGCCAACAGCTAAGGTCATAACAATATCACAGAATCATTAAGGTTAGAAAAGACCTTTAACATAATCAAGTCCAACAAACAACCTCACACCAACCCTGTGCCTACCATTAAAACATGTACTCAAGTGCCATGTTCTTTCTGAAGTTTTTGAACTCTTTCAGGGATAGTGACCTCACCACTTCTGTGGGTAGCCTGTCCCGATACTTTACAATCCTTACCATGAAGAATTTTTTCCTAATACCTAAACCTTCCTTGGTGCAACTTGAAGCCATTTCCTCTCATCCTCTCACCTGTTACCTGGGAGAAGACACTGACCCCCACCTGCCAATCATCAGACCTGCAGATCAGCAAACTCAGTCTCACCATGGTCAACATGTCAATAGGCTATTAAGCAGCACTTCCCTCTTATCTGTTAACATGTACACAGCCACATTACACACATAACAGCTTCCTCAACCACCAATATGTCTTTTCATAAAGCTTGTCAACTTTTGCCACATAAGGAAGATGGCAAATACAGGTGGAAATTCTTCTTAAAACCTAATGCAACTGTTTGGGAAGAAAGGAGAAGAAAGACAACTTTATTTGAAAATGCTTCCAAACACTAAACATATCAGGGTAGGGGTTAGTACTTTTACATTAAGAAGTTTACCTGCTGGAATCTCAGTTTTTACATTCTCACCTTATCAAAGGCTCTATTATCAGTTACTCACATCACGATGTAACATATATATGTCAGTTCTTAAAATAAAGTTGCATTAAAATTATCACAAGTCATAAATTTTTGTAACATTAGTGTAAAGTATTTATTCAGTAATACACCTTAAGTAATACACTCCAGTGGAAGTTTGTAAGAAGAGAACAGCCTCTATTAAGAGGCAGAATTCGTGGCAATATAGACCAGAACTCTCAGGAAGAGAGACAAATGCAACAGAATGTAAAGCACCAATCTAAATTTGAATTTGTTGGGTTTTGAGGGCTGCAGGCCTATGCGGTATGCATTAGGAGCAAGATAGAAACACCACAGATCTCACTATTTCTCATCTGAGATTTCATTTTTCCATTTTCTAGGATTTTGCCACTTACTCGATATCTGCTATTTTTAATATGTTTAAAAAAGAAAAGACAGTTCTGTAAAGAGATGTGTGCATATACAATGTCACCATGGATGACATGAAGTTAGCAGAACCAGAGCAGACAACTGACACTCTTAGACAAGGAGGCTGGAATACAATCTCCACAAAAAAGAAAGCAGTGCAACTTCTCCATCCGCACAATGACTGGAGAAGATACTTGGTCAAGTGAACCATAATTGCGCTACAATGCTTCTGCTTCTGCTTTACGTATTCTATCCTGGTGATGGCTCCTTGGTGCCCAGCTTCTCATTCAACTGTTCTTACCTGAAAGACAAAGCATATTACTTTGCACTCTATAATATTCAATTATTAGACAGATATGCTGCACTGAAAATGCTCTGGGTATATTAAAAAGACGTATTTGAAACAGTATTTTAATTTTGGATGCTATCAATAAAGCCAAATTTTCAGTTAAAGCTACATTGCAGCAAGTCTTTGCACAAAGTGTAAATCTTACTACTCCTTGAGACTCGCTTGAGTTAAATTTCTAGTACTTCATTAAATCACAGCATCACATGATTGTTACGCTTGGAAAGGACCTCTGGAGACCGTACAGTTCAAAATCCCTGCCAAGGCAGGATCACCTAGAGCAGGTGACATAGGAGCACATCCAGGCGGGTTTTAAATGTCTCCAAAGGGGGAGAGTCCACAGCCTCCCTGGACAGCCTGTTCCAGTGCTCTGCCACCCTCAATGTAAAACATTCCTCCTCATGTTACAGTGGAACTTCTTGTCTTTTAGTTTACAGTCACTGCTCCCTGTCCTGTCACTGGGCACCACCAAAAAGAGTCTGGCACCACGTTTTAACATCCACCTTTGGGAGATCTGTACATATTGATGAGATCCCCTCTCAGTCTTTACTTCTCCAGACTAAACTGGCCCAGCTCCCACAGCCTCTCCTCATAAGAGAGATGCTCCAGATCCCTGATCATCACTGTGGCCCTCCACTGGACTCTCTACAGTACCTCCACATCTCTCTGGTACTGAGAAGCCCAGAACTGGACACGGCACTCCAGATGTGGCCTCACTAGGGCCGAGTAGAGAAGCAGGATCACCTCCCTCAGCCTGCTGGTAACACTTCCCAATGCACCCCAGGGTACCACTGGCCCTCCTGGCTGCAAGGGCTCACTGCTGTCAATTTGTCATCCACCAAGACTCCCAGGTCCTTCTCTGCAGAGCTGCTCTGGGACTGGTCAGTCCCCAGCTGCACTGGTACTTGGGGTTATTCCTCCCCAGGTGCAGGACTGTAAACTTGTTGGCCTTGTTGAACCTCATTAGGTTTCTCTCTACCCAGCTCTCCAGCCTATCAAGGTCCCACTAAATGCAGCACAGCCTTCAGGTGTATCAGCCACCGGCCCCAGTTGATTGCCATCAGCAGACTTGCTGAGGGTGCACTCAGTCCCTTCATCCAGGCTGTTGATAAAGAAGTTGAATAAGGCTGGACCCAGTATTGATCCCTGGGGATCCCAACTGGACTCTGCTCCACTCATCACAACATTCTGAGCTCTGCCATTAAACAGTTCTTGATTCACCTCACTGTGTATTCATCTAACCCACATATCCTGAGCTTACCGACGAGGATGTTGTGGGAGGAGTGTGGAAAGCCTTGCTGAAGTCAAGGTAGACAACATGCCCTCATTGACCCCTCCTGCCATGCCATCACAGAAAGCTATCAGATTGGTCAAGCAGGATTTCCCCTCTGTGAATCCATGCTGACTATTCCTGATGACCTTCTTGTCTTTTACATGCTATATAGGTCTAACGGGATTTCATGTGCCATTGATGCCATTTCCTCCAGTTGTTCAGAGGATATCAGCAAACATGGCAGGGAGTATCTTCTTTTATTATATTTTGGCAATGGTGTCTTGATAAATTCTTCATCCAAGGAGAATACTACTACAGGACTGCAGAATTCATATTTCTTTCTTTCTTCTGGTGTAGGACTTAGGTCTGATCTATAGCTTTCAGGTTCACCTCCATTATGTGTTTTATGCAGCTCTTCTTCACTTTTAGATGTCTTTTTTGTGCTTTATGTGAGTTGGACAGGGACTGTAGAGGTATATCTGATTTTTCAATATCCCTGTTATTTTCTGAATTACTTGTTACATTTGCACTGATAGTAAAATCAGATTCTAAGCCTGGAGACAAGTTGAGATCCATGCTACCATATTCTGGAAATGTCTCATCCCATACCCCCATGTAGCCAGTTTCACTCCATTTTGCAAAGCCTGATTCAGATCTTCTATAGAAACAGTTCGATCTAGCCTGTGCTTCAGTTCTCTCAGTCCCTTGTATTCCAGATGTTTTTGAATCTTCAGATTCAAAAACATGACTTATCCTCACCTGCTCTTGAGGACTAGATTCCACGGAACTTAACTGGGACTTGTTTTCTGACTATAAATAGGATTCTACATAGGAAAACAAAATCTCTTGAATCAAATTCACAGTATTTATATCTTATTAGGTCTACTATATTGTGTTACAGTGAGCCATTCAGGTAACTTGCAGCTTTACTGAAATAATTCACTTGTTCTTCCTGTGCAACATGTCAATGAACTAATCACATTTCTAATCATGGGGCATTATAAAAACAGTTTCAGACTTACACAGCTTTTCTGGAGTTCGGGGAATTTCTCTCCTTGTTAAAAATGGGTTAAAACACAGTGAGCTTATGAGATCATCTAATGACATTCCTTTTTCTTCAGCAATGCCACGTGACTCAGACATCACAGCCTTTGCAACCTGTAGGATGTTAAGAGAAGGGCAAATTCTGAGAAAATAAAATTAAAACTTCTTTATTTCTGTCAGTTACGGTTCAAAATAAATCCCATTCTCCAAATCATCTGGAGAATTTGAAATATCTTGACTTTTCCGTTATTTATTATTTAGGTTCACAACGACCACAGTGTCCTACAAAATGAAGATAGGAACTGAAATTAGAATTCAATTCTAAGTTCTCTCATCATCTATGAATCTATCTTTCAAATAAGAAATTGTGCTTAAAATATATTTAAGACATTAGTCAAGAACTACATAAGCATGAAGACTAGAGCTATATTTATATAAGTAAAACATTTTAGAAGATGAAATGTAACTAGTGAAAATTATTAGTGAAAAATGCAATTTATTTTCCATTTACGACCATTTATTAAAAACAAACAAATTCCTTCCTAACCTCTTCTGCCAGTTCATCTCTGGCTTTCTCAAGAAGGTCTTCTTTTTCCACAGGACACTCTGTCAAGGCAATATCCTTATTTGAACTCTCTCGCATTTCTTCCTTTCCATTTTTTAGGATTTGCAGAGGCACAGGTTTTTTATTTCCCTCACAAGTTTCTGTATGCAAATGCTAGAGGAAGACACAGGAATTACTAGGAGTTTTAAACTCATGTGCCAGAATATTAGCATGAACAAATTGCTGTATGAATTTTGAACAGCAATGGCCCAAATGTTTAAGTCAATATTTCAGTCTTGAATTTTAACTAAAGACAAAATATTTTTGCAATTGTATTTGAAGTAGGACATAAGTAGTGACTAGGACAGGTTATTACATACAATGCAGATGATTTGCAACACATTTGCAACTACCTCCAACACAGTGGAGTGAACACTTGTCCAATTGACAGCTGTACATCCACGTTGCTTTTACACCACTTTTTAACCTTCAAGTTCATACACACTCAAAGAAACCAAGTCTGACTACAGGTCACACTAAAAAGACTGTTTCAGCAAGCAGGGAATCAGTCACACACTGTATATTACCCTGGAAGTCAAGTACAAGTGCACCTACTTCCTCATGTCTTATTTATGGTTTTACAGGACTGACTCAGATGGGTAAAAATGCTGCTAAAACACACACAAAACCAAGCCAATCAAACACATACCTGCAAAAACAACAACAACACAAAAACAACCCCAAAACCAAAACCAAAACAAACAAACAAAAAACCAACAAAATCCCACAACCATCTCCCACAAAGTCTAGGCTTTGATCAATGTAAAATGCACAAGTCCTAAGTTTAACTTATTTGACAGGTAGAAAATTACATTTTTGATCATGACGTCTCTGTTTTCAGGTACTGCCAACATCACTGAAGAGATCCTTGAGGGGGAGAGAAAGAAAGTGTAAAAAAAGGAAAAAGTTCACACTAACAATTTTAGAGACAAACTAAAACTAGTGGAATGTAGTGGGTTTCTGTCCCTAGGTTTTGGTAGCCCAGGGAGCTACAGGGGTGGCTTCTGTTAGAAGCTGCTAGAACCTTCTCCTGTCCGGTGGAGCCAATGCCAGCCAGCTCCAGGACAGATTTCCTGCCGCTGGCCAAGGCCGAGCCAATCAGGAGCAACAGTAACACCTCTGTGATGACATATTTAAGAACAAAAAGGTATTGCACAGAAAGAATTCCAGTCAGGAAAGAGCGGAGTGACAATATGGGAACAAAGTTGACACGAAGGTCAGTGCAGAAGGAGGGGCAGGAGGTGCTCCAGGCACCGGAGCTGAGGCCCTGCAGCCCGTGGTGCAGACCATGGTGGAGGAGCTGTGACCCATGGGGGACCATCGGGGTGCAGAGACTCCCCCTGCAGCCCATGGAGAAGCCCATGCTGGAGCAGGTGGATGCAGGAAGGAGGCTGTGACCCTGTGGGAGGCCCATGGTGGAGCAGGGTCCTGCTGGAGACCTGCAGCCCATGGAGAGGGAAGCCCATGCTGGAGCAGGTTTTTCCTGGGTAGGACTTGTGGCCCCTGTGGGGGACCCACACTGGTACAGCTCATCTGTGAAGGACTGCATCCCATGGAGGAGTGAGCCACGGGACAGCAGTTTGGGAAGAGCTGCTGCCTGAGGGATGGACTCCTCTTGGAGAGGTCCATCAAGGACTGTACCTGTGAGAGGGACCCCATGGGAGCAGGGGAAGGACTCCTCTCCTGAGTAGTGGCAGAAATAACAACTGACTGTAACCCCCATTCCCATCTCCCTGCACTGCTGGCGGGTAGGAGAGAGAACATGGAAGGAGGGGTGGGGGGAAGGTGTTTTTTTAAAGACTGTTTCATTTCTCACTCTTTGGCTCTTATCCTGTTAGTAATAAATTTAAGTACAATCCCCACTTTGACTCTGTTTTGCCCATGAAGGTGATCAGTAAGTGATCTCTCTCAACTCATCTCAACTCATGAATCCTTAGGTGTTATTTTTTCCTCTCTCCTCTGTCCAGTTGCAGAGGAGAGAGTGAGAGAGCGGCTTTAGTGGGTACCTGGCATCTTAACAGGCTGTTACATATTGTATGCTCCGTATCTGTCCGTTACGATTTCTCTCAATTCGTCCCGGTCATCAGAAAGCAATTTTACTATAGGGAGAATAGTGTGACAATTAGGGCAGATTTAGCCCTACTTGTGTATCAGTCTCCCAAAATTTATAAATTAATAAACTTTGCCCTTGATTACTATACAGAAAAAGAAGCGATTTTGCAATACTTTTGTAAACAAGTTTTCAGCATTCTGCTATCAAAGATAACTGAAAAGTCTTCTGCAGGACTGACATTGTTCTTTTCCCTAGATATTGCATTCTTTGTCTGAATCACTCCTGGCATGCACAGGTCTGTTCCTATACAAACTTGTTGACATTTAACAATCCCCTGGCTACCAAAGACTTCAGGCTCAACACTTCTGGTGAGTTTAGTGCTAATTCCATAGCTCTGAAAAATGCAGTCCTCACTTGTTAGGAAAAGCACACTTTAAAATCTTAATATTTGCTGTTACCTGTCTGCAGAATCGGAAGAAGACAAAAATCTATGCTGTACGACGTCACTGAAAGAAATCCAGGATTTAATTGTTAACTACATTGACAACCTCGGAGACTTACAATCAACTACTTCTACTGACGCCTAATATGCCCAAAGGACAACCTTCCTTTGCTTACTCCTTTTCTCTCCTAGTAAGAAACTTTCAAGTATCTGTAGGATTCATATTATGAAATATAGCATTATTCAAATGGTCATGAAACATTCCCGGACTAAGCAAATGACAAATGGGCAAAAAATTTTGTAATATCATTGTTTTATGTTCTATCCATTGTTGGTAATATAGTAAGAGTAGTTACAGAACAATGTAATAGTAACTCTCAAGAAGAGTCATGAAAAAAGTCTTGTTGAGCAGGTTTAGCCTGAGAAATAGAATCTTCTGTTCTCTCCACCAACGTCTTAAAGCTTGGAACAATATATTTAAAAAGTGAGATAAAAACCTTGCAACTTGCCTGCTATATATCCTATTCAGCAGTAACCAGTTGATCAATCAGTCACCAGCCAGAGAAAGCAGCAACTACTTTAAGCCTATCTTTCTAAATTAGGTGGTGGTGACATGTAAGAAGTGAGTTACTCAAATATTCCACTAAGGTTCAAGACATGCAAAATATTCAAGTCCAGCAAGTAAATTTCTTTTTTTTTCCCTCTGCTTTTTTATCACTTTCTCATTAAGCATACCATTTTGGTGGTGGCATACCATTTTGATGACTTATCCATCATAGAGTCCAAAGCTCCCTCATCTTTCTCACAATGTTCTTTATGAAGAGAGTCAAAAGTATCTAGAAAAGCAAGTAGAAAGTTTTATTATTGCTTCAATTTTCTTTGCTCAGGCTTTCCAGGTGACATGATTGACTCAGATCACTTCTGTAGACTACTCACAGAATGGACTTTATGAAACACTTCAAGAAAAATAAATTCATATGTAAGCAGGACAATGTTATCAATCCTTTTGCTTAGGTACCACCTCAGGTACCACAGATGCCACTAGCAGCCAGTACCTCTTTGTGTTGTTCCTGAACACATGTTCAAGAAGAATGGTTCTATCTGCTGCCCTCCATGTATCAATCACATATTCCACTGTCCTCCAAACTGCAATCCCAGCCACATCATTATCCTCAACTCTCCACAAATACATCAATTGTGTGGCACATCAACTATACAAAGCACGATTCCACTCATGTTTACTCCAACTGCACTAATTAATAAATATTTCTCATCCCTTTTGCTGTCTCAGTTTAAGCAAGGCAAAGCACACTGTAAGTAAATGTTTTGCACATTATCAGAGGTACATATACCTCAGCTAAGGATCCTCCAGAACAATAAACACTAATTTTGGCACATCTCTAATGAAGAGCTGAAGTTTAACCTCAGTAGTTCTCTACTAACCCTAAATTACAGCTTCTGCAAAGACAAATGGCATTTCCTGTTGCATTTACGTCAACAACATATCCAAAATCCAAGCTCAGTTCAGACAGTTAGATGAGGTTAATTTTTAGAGCTTACTATATCAACAGGCAGAAAATTATGTTTTCTTAATGGCTGGATTCTCAGTCATCATTGTACAATCTTTAAAATTTTTAAGGCAAACTACCTTCCATTTGCAATTCTGTGGCCTTTCCTTTGTAGCTTCTAGCCTTATACCCACGTATCCTCAGACTGCTGGAGAAGCACTTTCACCTTTGTAATGGAAAGGTCGTTCTTGCTGTTGTTTTATCTTGAAATTCCAATACCCCTCTGCTGTGCCATTTTTCCTAAGAGAGACTGCAAGTGACACGACTCAAGTAGTCTTCCCCCTTGCTTTGTAGCTTTTAACTCTATCCTAGGGACATCAGCACTTTGTCAATAAGCATTACCCCGTAAAATACAATCAGCCTATCAGCTGATTAGAATGTGCAGTAACCATGATCAAAGTGAGTTTGGATCAACACTGGTAACCTAGTGACTGAAAGCATTAAGTAAGGTCCTGATCAAATGGCACAGTTACTATGGAATTAGGTATTTCAGAATGCACCAGGGAAAGATACTTACCTGGGAGGACATCTTCAATTTCTTTTCCTATATGGCTAGCGGGTAAAGTTTTATCTTCTTTCTCTCTTTCGTACTACTCTTTCCACCCAATATCTTTACTGAATATATATTCTAGAACTCATGAACCTTTGTACACATAAATCTGTCTCAACATCATTTTTAGAAGAACAACAAAATATCAAACAGCTCAGCACCAGGTTTTTCCAAACTTCAGCCGATCTCCCTGACAGGACAAGGCTGAAAAATTGCGACAAAGAGTCATTTGGAAACAGATTACCACAGACTTTTAAAGAATATCTGCAAACACAGGCAGGGAGCCTTTTTTACTCCAAGTAACTTTTAAAAAATTGTGGCAGTGGGGGCGAAGAAAAAGAAGCTTCTCCTGGTCACCTACCTGAAACTGGCACTAGATGTTGATGGAAGACATTGTCTTCATCTTCTTCTGGAGGACTAGGAGATTGGGGTGGTGAAGCTGTTGAACTAGGTTCCTCTCAAAATGAAGAAAAAAGTTTGCTGAAAAAATCTGCTTATCAACAGCAATTAACAGACAGTTATTTACAACAGCTTTTCTACAAATCAGCTGTCAGACTCAACATGAAGCTTCTCCCTCTGCTGGGTAGCTAGGCAAGGGGATAACCTTTGAGTGTCAGAATGGAAATTATCGTTCATTCATCAAGCACATCACTCTAAAGGGGAAAACCAGAAAACTCAGACTGATAGCATAGAGATGCTCAGCTTCCACAGGGGAATGAACAGAGACAAAACCAAAACCAACTAACTCACTCTTACACTAATCTACTGTCTTGACAAGATGGTTCCAACCCCCACCTCAGGTGAAGACACCAGCTGTCATAAAGTCAAATATATTCTCTTTTAGAAAGACTTCATAAAGCATAATGAGCTTTACTGCACTATATGATTCCCCCAGCCTTACATATAAAGTTTAAGTGTAGATCTACATCCTCTTTCACCTTCTCTTCCCCAGAATCAGATAAATTGAACACTACTTACTAGATCCTCTTTAAAGATTAAATTAAAAGGATGCTGGCCAAGAAATGTTTTCCACTTCATTTCCCAGTCTTCCTCCTTTCTAGAAATAGATTCACACACTGACACACCTTGTTGCTCTCCTTCTAGCCTGTAACATATAAGCAGGAAAAATGGTAATATCTGTTGGTGGAGATAACAACTCTGGATAAAGATGGACAGTATGATGTGTTCTCCTTATTCTGCAAAACCCGTTATATGTATCAATTATTCGTGCATTTGTACCTGTATTAAGAACTAACTGAAATTCAAACCCAAGAAGTGGCTACTAGATATCCTTATGTTTCTAACAGAAGAATTAGAAGAACTATACTCAAATATATACACAAATTAGATACACTCTTTAAACTTCCCTAGCCTAGATTCAGGTAAAAGATTTAAAAATCTCTGAACTTATTAACATAACAAGAAAAAAAAAAGTAAAAATCAGATCAGCTAGCAAATGAGGTTCCCAGGAACAAAGCCTGGAATATTAATAAAGCCAAGGCAAGTTGGCTTGAAGTTACTTAGAGAAGAGTCCCAATTAAACTTACATAAATAATCAAGACAAACGTTAATTTTCCACAGGGAAAGGAAAATTACTCAACTAAATATTTTTCCTATAAGTAACATTTTTCTAGAAAAGTCTCCATGGTAGGTAGACATGATCCTAAGATTTAAGAACAAGGGAAAAGAGAAAATTTGCCAACATTACCTCTCTGTGTTCAAATCCTGTAGTAATTTATTGCAGGTTTTAACCATGTTCTCAATCCTGTGAAGTTCTTTTAATTCAGACAGACAGTGTTCATTTCTCAACATCCTCAAGCCTTCATTTAGCACATGAATGACTGCTAAGAAATCCAATTTTCCATCCTCATATATATTTCCTGAAAAACTCTTGAAGTTCAGCAAGAAAGAAAAAAAATTAATGAACAGTACCAATATCAGAAAGTTAGGTCTTCTGCAGTAAGAGCAGGGACACTATATACTTTGATTCAGTTCCTGATTTGTTTCATTTGTCAAAAAATGCATTCTAGATTAAACCAACATGAAACAAGAGAACTTCAACTGATGAGGTATTCCATCTAACCACTGTCTCAAAACTGTAGTACAAACACCAATGACGTAACTAAACAACACCACATACTACACACTGGAAACAAATGTTAAAGCAACAGTTAAACCAGTCAACCTAGTTTTAATGTCTAAATAATAAAAAAGTCAAGTACTAAACAGGCAGACTTACGAGTGCAGTTACTGAACCAAAAAAGTTAATAGGTTAAACATAACAAATACAAAAGAGCATTATAATCCTAACAAATTTTTGCATACAGACAACATATTTAATGCATCCTTTAGCAATCATCTCCTATAATCCATGAAGTATTTATTTTGTAAGGTATCTAATTGTACTCCTGAGGACTGAAAAAAAAAAGGCAGTTTAGCAACTTAGCAAGAAGGACAAAAACTACTTACGCTGTCATTTTCAATTTTGTAAGCCAACAACTTTGGAACTCTCAAAACAACATCACTTCCATCTAAAATACACGGCTGAACACAAGTTTCAAGTACAGAATCCACAACTTCCTTATCCTTTTTCAGAGATGTAAGCATTTCCATTATAAGTGTCCACATACGGCGGACCTTAATGGGCAAGACAAAAATGCCATGTTAAATTGTTTGCCATAATACCTGTAAGACAGAATATCAAAACAACATAAAGGCAGATGAAAGGACCAGCATAATCGGAGGTAGACGAAGGGAAATAAAAGTATCTGAGAGCAGGTGTTGCAGAAATGTTAGAAGAAATACAATGCACTGCCACAGCAGAAACAAAATGCTCACCTTTTCAATTCTCTCAGTTGTGTCACTTTTGTTTTGGTCATTTTGTTTCATCCTATATGCACATGCAAAACAAAAGTACAAGTGGACCACAATGAAATTATAGTCCCTATTTCATAAAACTGAGCAAGTAAACAATTTTATATATCCTAACTTACAAAGAAAAACACTTACCTTGAATACTGTCTCTGCATGACTGCATATTCAGACTTTGTCTCTTCTATTTCTTTAATTAAAACCCTAGGAAAAAGTTAACAGTTACCACAGGTTTATCAGAATTACCTGCAGCCACTAACCAATCTTACTCATTCTTTCAAAATCAGCATACTGAGAGAGTTGTGGAATAATGTAAAAAAAAAAAAAAAAGATAATAAAACTTCCTTGCCATGACTTTGTGTAGAATTAGAGTCAGGAAAGCCACTAAGATATATACAAATTAAGCAACCAAACCGTCGCAATAGAATGGTTTTTATTATACCCAACAACAATAATGAAGTTACTAGAAATGTATATTATCAACATCAACCTCCAAACATATTCGTCAATTGTATCACATCCCTTAGTTTCAAAAGACCAGAGAACAGAATACTGGAGTACAAGCAGTTGGACCACTTAGGTTCTTTTGCTGAAGCGCTTTTATTGACTTTTTAAGCATGTAAATACATAGTGGTCTGATTTTCAGAAACATTGGGTGCCTACTCATACTGAATTTGAAAGGATCTTCAGAGTTGTGATCCCTTGTCAAGAATGAAAAAAAACTATAGAGAATTGCATTTTTGAAGGATATCATTAAGCAACAGCAGTAATGTTTCCCAAGCAAGGTCACAGGAGATACAGAATTATAGAAATCAGAGAAGTTCATGAGAGTTTGACCTCCAGAAATTGTATTGTTGAGCCTTCCATTGAAAGCAGAGCCTTTAGTTATGCTACTCATGGTCTTGTCAAGCCAAGTCTTGAATATTTCCAGGAATGGAGATTCCATTTCTCTGGGCAACCTTTTTCAATGTTTAATTGTTCTCATATGAGACATTTTTAAAAACCAGATGGAGTTTTCCACTAAGTACCCTGTGCCTGTCGCCTTGTCCTGCCGCTCTACACCCTTGTTAGGAGAGTACCTCCATCTTCTTTACAACTACTTTTTAGATACTGAAATTGTGATTAAACCCCTTGAGCATTGCCTTTTTCAGGCTAAACAAACCTGACTTCTGCAGCTTTTACTTGTGTGCCGAATTCTTCAACCTTGTAAACACTGTGGCCCTCTGCTACTATCTCTCCCATCTTTCACTCTCTCCCCTCAATCGGGCAATCAAAACTCAACATCGTATTCCAGGTGTGGCGTTAGAATTGACAACCCCAGCCAGCAACTAAGTACCACAGAGCTGCTCACTCCCTCCCCGCTTCCCCAGCCCCAGCAGGATAGGGAGGATCTGAAAAATGGTAAAACCAGTTTAATAAGTGAAATAAAGTAAAATAGTGTAACAACAGAGATGTAATGGAGAAAGAGAGAGAGGAATAAAATAAGAAAAACAAGTGATGCACAATACAATTGCTCACCACGACCTGACCAGTGCTCTTTTCCATACAGCACAGTACGCTGCTGACCTCCTTGGTTAACCAGGGCGCTCTGCTCACTCATGTTCAGCTTATGGCCCCACACTGCTCTCACCTCTGGTACTTCTTAGCAGAGCTACTCCCCAGACAATCACCTACAAGCCTCTGCTGCTGTTGGGAACTACTTCAACCCAGGTGCAGGGCCTCACACTGGTCTTTGTTAAATCTCACACAATTTTTGTTGTTCAGGTCTCCAAATGCAGCAAAGTCTCTCTGTGTAATGCCTCCTCATTGCAGTGTCTCTTCTCTCCTCACAGTTTGGCACCTTCTGCAAGTTTGGCCAGTTTGCATTCAATGCTGTCATTCATCTCCCTTATGAAGACAGTTATCAGCCACAGAAGAACTCCACTCATGGACAGCTACACCAGTTATGACTTTGAGGCACTATCACTCTTTGGGCTCACCCCTTTAGCTAGTCTTCTGTCTTTCCAAAAATGTCAGAGCTGTTCTGAAATGATGCCAGGTAAGACTCCCTATATGCTTGGATGCATTCCATCAGGTAGGAGTGAAAGCTTTGCTGTACCCTCTTCTTCAATCAGTGTTTTGTTGCTTCTTTCATTATTGCTTCTTGGCATAGTGATTGGGTTATTGACCTTAGCCACGCACACTGAGGCAAAGTACACACTGGGTATTTCAGCCTGTGAAACTTTCAACTTACCATTTCGTTCAGAGGCAGACCTAAAGCCTCCATATACTTCCACTTCCTAACAACATACCTACATGATTCTTTTTTCAGGCTCTTACCAGGTTCTTAGAGCTTTAGGTGAACTTTGGCTCTCATAGGTACATCACTGCATACCCAAGAAACACTTCTGTATTCAGGTCTGGGAGTCAGTTCCCTTTTCTATATTCCATATCCTGCTACTTTGGTTTCCGAACTCTATCACAAGCTTACTGTCCTAATCAGGTTGTTTCCTTGTTACACCCGCTTCTTTTTCTGCTTAAGGTGATGGGCCACGTGTAAGCTTCATCAAGGATATCTGAAAATATCACTCCTGAGCCTTTCTGCTTTCCACAAGATGCCCCTGAACAGTTCCCTGGGCTAGTGAAAATCCACTCAAATTATAAATCCACTGTTATTAGTTTTCCACTCAACTTCCTCACTCTCCTTAGGATCTTAAGTTCTACAGTCTTAGTTACAGTGACCACAGAAGTCCTGTAATGTCTCCAGAGAAGTTTCTCTTACTTAACATGCAGTGAGTTCAAAAGAGCACCAATCCTATCTAGAATAGTCTGTGATTGCATTAGAAAGTCATCTTCTAGGCACTCCCACTTCCCACATCACTAATGCACCACTTTTGCTTTCCCAGCAAATACCAGGGTAAGCTGAAGTCCTCTGTTAGAATCAAGGCCATAATCAACCCTCGGATCTATTGATCCAAAGGCATAAAGCATGACTAGTCCTCTTGTATGGAGCTATGCTACATGTACTGTCGCTGCTCTTTTACCTACAGTGCCACTCATCGCCCTTTGCTGCCATTTACTGAACAGCCCACAGCTGTCCATGACAGTGCTCTGGTCACAAACTATCCCACACCGATCCTTTAAATTCCACTGATACATACATTCCGTGCCTGCACAGAAAGTTCCAGCTCTTCCTATTTCTAAAGCTGGGAATATTTTCCATAAAAAGAGTGACGAATAGCGTACTTTTGGTGAAACAATTAAGGTTCATGTAAAGAAAATGTGTCTCACAATGACTAAGTAAGACCAAATGTTTCATCCTGAGACAGTTATATTTTAAAGATATGACCCTTCAAAAACTAAGAAATCATAGTGCTAAATATGCAGAATTCCCTGGTCATTTTAATGCCCTACTAATCATAGCTTCCAAAATACAGCATCTCCTAAATGAAGAACTAATTTCTTTAGACTACTATGCTTCACAAAACATCTACAAACAGTAGAACTGTCAATTAGAAGAGTTAAAGAGGGAAAATATGGGAGAACTCATGAGGTAAAGCAGAGGTAGCCTCCTCAAATCCCTTCAAAAATACATACACATAAAGTCAGTTTTTATGAAAAGACTCAATTTCTTCAAATGCATTACTTACTGTGCTTTTTTCACATATTCTTGAATAACAATGTCTGTCTTTTGAAGAATTTGCAGCAGTTTATTGTATCCAACTCTATGTCTTGCTTTTGCAATGTACATGTCCTCAGGTCTCAATGTTACAGCTTCAGCAAATGGTATACAAGTGCCTAAACAGAAGTTAATGTTTGGATGACATCATTCACTTTTAGCAAATGGAGAGCTTCCTAATCTACCTATTTGAACCAAAAAAATCACAAATCAAGATGCTCATTTTACCTGGACTGAAATAGAGCATGCAATGTACTGCCTTTTTTGCCATTTTTTTTCTGTTGTACATATCTTCATTCCCTCACGCTCTGTTTTCTTTAGGTTATCAAAACAATACAAGATGCCTAGAATAGACAGTTCCGATGATTCAGAATTCATCAAGTTCTGAGGAAGAATATGGTATAGCAAGCCAATACTTTGGGACCAAATCATTGCTTGTGCAGCCAGTGGTGTAGAGTATTGCACAGATAAGCCTTGGAACAAGACCCATAACGCAACAGAGAGCAAAATAATCAACACTGTTCTAACAGCAGTAGCTCTATACAAGTACACAGGACACTGTGAAAGACTCTAAACTGAGCAGCCAACTCAGAACTACTTACAGCTCTTGTCACACATTAAAGACCTGATAGATTTACAAACATAACAAACAAAGCATTTTTATTGTTCTATTACAACTTACCCACAGAGAACTTTTTCACATCCTCAATCATTACATATCTTGCAAGCTTGTAGAGAGTGTGAACAAATTTAGCACCAACAGGAGAAATCAGTGATGAAGGTGTAATCTTTGGAATATTGCTTTTCTCATCATTCTAGAAAAGTTAAATTGTTTTAAACACAGAAGTAATCTAAGAAATAAAGCATAAACAACAGCTATCAAACACGTAGCTAAGTACCAAAACACTACAGATTACTTGCTAGCAAGCCTGATGCCAAGCTAAATGACTTTGCTAGCACAGCTGACACTTCCTCTAGTCAGAAGAGAAAAAAGTTTTTTTCAATATTCCTACCACCACCCTTAGTTTTGCACACAAGACAGCTTCAATGCAAAGACTGAAATTAGTGTTGGATAAATGTGAGAAATCAGTGCCCTCCTAACTGGCAATCCCTATCTTTGAAGACATTAAAGTTTTCTTTCATATTTTCCCCTGAAGTCATTAATTAATGCAGTTTTACCATATTCAAAGATACTGCACTCTTGGCTTTCACCTTGTCCACTATTACTAAAAACCGAAAGTTTTGCAGTAGATTAAGATGAGATTTCTAGAGCAATTATTAAGACAAAGGCAGCATAAGAAGCTAACATAATAACCAATGATACCTGAAGCAACCAGTTTTGGCTTAGCTCTTTAAAAAGTTTGCCTTAAATTTTAGTCCCTTTTCTCATATACAAGGAAAGACTAATATTAAAGTTTTTCATGCATGTGAAACAGCTTTCAGAATAGTAAACACCTTGCCAGGCAACTTAAACAAACACCTCTCAAACTAAAAGAAGTTATTCTCACCCAGAGCTAAGGAACTCCCTAGACTTATATTTAATTAAATACCATTATCCAGAAGTAAGCCACAGCAGTTTTAAGACACAAGATTAGGTCCCTGTTATCTAAATTCCACAATCTTCTTCAAAGAAGTCCTAGATAAACTATGTGAAAGAATACATAAGGTAAAACCGAATTCTTTGATAAAAATTCTTATTTAAAACTCTTATTAAAAATGAGGTCACAGAAATCAGTACAGCATCATCTTCCACTCTTCATGATACTTACTGAAAGTTCTCTTAGCCAGTCACAGCACTGCTTCCTAAATTGAGTGGCTCCTTCTGGCAATGGACAACTTCGTTCCATTTAAAAATGATGAGGAAAAGGAAGAAAAAAATGCAAAATGCGTTCAAATATCCAGATACCTAATTAACCATTATAAAAACAAGACTAAGACAAAGATTTCTTATTAATGCCTACTGGTGGAGCCCACAAATAAGGGACATATATCCTAGACCAAGAATACCTAAGGTTTGTTAAATGACAATGTTTTCTCTCCATAAGTTAACTATAGAATGTCTCAGAGACATTTGTCTGCAGCTCTAACTTGGGATAAGGGAAGAAGACCAAAAAAGGAGTCATAACTGACCATTTTCATATCACTAGTCTTCCTCCTGCCATGTCTTCAGATGCATAAGCTAAAAAAGCTCAGCTATAAGAGGAAAACCATTTAATGAACATAGGGTTCTTGCCATGCTGAAGATCGTGGCAGCAATCCATGAATAGGAAATGTTACTCCCTGTTTGGTCAGGGAGATGAATGGGAAAGATAGATTACTTTGCAGCTATTAAGTTTATATCAAAGTCACCAAGTTATAGATACTATCAGACACAACTTTAATTAAGCCAAGGCTGTGACACAGAAGAATGATCAAAAGAAAACAAGTATTCTGACGGTATGCTTTTCTTCCACAGTATTCCCCAAGTGACCACTTCCCTCCCTCCAGCAACTGTATAAAACATATTCTTAATTAAGGGCAGAGCAGCAAATAACCTCATAAGCCAATTACTTACTGAAAAGTTTCTTCCGCACGGTCCTTATCCAGCTTGGCAAACAAGAAGTGGGCAACGACAGCAAACGCTTTGTTGTTTGGTTTATCAAACATGTTCCTAACACACAAATAAAGAGCACCACGAGAAGTAGTTACGGTGACAAACTAACAGAGCATTTTTACTGGCCACTAAAGATTACAAAACACTAAGTTACATTAAAGCTTTACAAATTATACACTGAATGCTTTGTTACTTGTGTGTAAAAGTATACATCATCCAGCATATTTAACACAGGCGAAATCCAGGGCTGCATCAAAAGGATGGCCAGTAAGACGAAGGAGGTGCTTCTCCCCCTTACTCTGCTCCTGTGAGACTCCACCTGGAGTACTGCATTCAGTTTTGCAGCCCCCAACCCAAAAAGGACACGGAACTGCCAGAACAAGTCCAGACTAGGGCCATAAAACTGCTAAGGGGATCGGATCACTTCCCCTGTGAAGAAGCAGAGAGTTGGGCTGTTCAGCCTCAAGAAGAGAAGGTTCTGTGGAGACCTCACAGCAACCTTCCAGTATCTGAAGGGGTTCTACAGGGAAGCCAGAGAGGGACTCCTCATAAGGAACTGCAGTGGCAGGACAAGGAGTAACGATTAAAACTTGAAGGAGGGGAAATTTGGGTACAATGTTAGAAAGAAATTCCTTATTGTGTGGGTGGTGAGGCACCGGAGCAGCTGGCCGAAGGAGGCTGTGGATGCCCCATCCCTGGCGGTGTTCAAGACCACGATGGATAAGGCCTTGAACAACCTGGTCTAGTGGGAGGTGTCCCCCTGCCCGTGAGGGAGGGGGTTATCTTCCAACGCTCTGACGTTCAATTATTCTGTGAAATAATCCTGGTGAGAGCGTTATCTTCCAAGGCTAGTTTTCAAAACACGCGCTAGGGAGCCCCTCGAATCGCCCTCCCTAAGGGATTGTGCGGGGGAGCAGCTCTCACCGTTCCCGAGGTTCCTTCCTTCGGACAGAGGTAACATGGACCGCGACGGCATTGCGGGCTTTTACCGTGCGCAACACACTGCCAGGGGTACCAGGACTCTCGGTGCCTACGGCGAACCGCGTCCGCCCCGCTGCAGCCGAGCGCTCCCGCCTGAGAGCATCCCCCGACCCCCTACGCCTCCGTCCTCCGCCGGGGCTCCCTCGCACTAACCGTCCCATGTTCACGCTCTCCGGGCATTGTCTGGGCTCGAAGTCAAGGGCCAGCAAGTAGAGCCGGAGGTGATCGTCCTCCCACACGGTCCTCATGGCTGCCCGGCCGCGCGGGAACCCGCCGCGCGCCACAGCCCGCCAACAACCGCCGCGCGCCGGCCCGCCCGCGCCACATCCCCGCTCTCGCGAGACCGAGTTGGCCGCGCTGCCTCACGGGAGGTGTAGTCCGGGCGCCCAGCACTCCCGTCGAAATGGATTTGTGATCGGACGGCGAAATTTAACACGGAACAAAGAAACATAAAAAAGAAACCTACACCGGCAGGCGGGTTGTGCGGTTCAAACTTTTATTCCAAGGCATTTCAGTGACTAGACTTGCAGGTGCTCACAAGCAGTGTGCCCGGGTGCCGCGCAGCGGGGCGATGCGGTGCCGGCGGCGCTGGACGGAGCAGAGGCATGACACGGCTCCCGGCGGGCTGCATCGCCCCGGCGGAGCAGCTCAGCCTGGTCCTTGAAAACAAATGTTAGCAAGCCCGCCTCCAGACCCATTCTCATTCACCCCAACTCCTACAGAACTTACTGTGTGCGAGCAAACGCGGCCTCAACATCTCTCAAAAAATAACTGGCATTTAAACAGAGGAAAACCCCACACTGTTACCAGAAGTATCGTCATGTTCAATTCCCTCTTTTTTTTTTCCCAATTTTCTTCCGTCCCACATCTGAATCTCTTTGTCCTCCATTCTCCCTCACTTCCTACAGTCTCTTACCTTTTCTAACTCCTACCCTTATTTGTGGAAAACTTTAATTTTTAAGCATTTACCCTCTTCTAGTCTTAGACGCCACAACTGATAGCATCACAATGGCCAAAATATTTGCACACAGAAGGTATGTGGAGAGAAAGGGAGTCCTTCTCTGCATAAAGCACTCTTGCCAAAGGAAAGCTCTAAGCTTCTAAGCTCTGAAGGTGCAGAGCCTAACAAAAAAAACTGGCAAAAATCTGAGATAGACAAAGTCTCTTACCCTTTCCAGCAGCAAAGAGGTAGATGCAGAATTCCTTTTCACGTAGACCGAAAGGGGAAATTTTGTGGGCAAATCCTCATCAACTCCTTTTGTTGGCAGCCCTTTATGCAAAGCACTGAGGTATTCTCATGGCTGCTACCAGCAGGAGAACAAATCATTAACAAAGATCAGATCAGTTGGATACACTGGTTAGGCTATACCTGGCTTATAGAAAGGGAGCTTGACGCCCATGCTAATGAATTTATGTAGAGTGCATTCCTTATGTAGAAAAAACAAACAGATTTTTGATGCAGCTAAATGAAACGGCAGTGATTTTTAAAAAAATATCCCCATAATCCCTAAACTAGGCAGGTTCACCTTTAAAAAGGAGAAATCTAAATTAAACATGGCAAAGGTACATTGTATCAAAATACATTTTTACGCTTCTCTATTCAGCTCTTTGCCCTGTAGTGTAAGGGCCATTTGTGCGTGAAAAGTCTTGTTGATCCTCTTCATCCAAATCCAAAATGTCTGGGATATCATCTGACTCTGAAGACAGGTCTGTAATAGTGAAATCTGGAACCTGTGTAGGAATGAAATTTCAATCAATTTAAAAGTAAAACTAAATAAATTTGTGCAGTACTCCTCTCTGAAGTCACGACACATCAGAAATCTAGAAATCAGACCCAATATACTGAATACAGAGTGAACTATGCTCAGTCACATATGAAACACATAGCATTAAGACAGACCAAATACTATGCAAGATACAGATCAGTTGCTTAGAAGACAGGATTTTATAGTAGGTGTAAGTGTAGAAGACCCTTCCGGAAGAGTTTACTATGAGATTAGGGGTTTTTGCTTAAGAAAACTTTCGTCTTTGGCCAGAAACAGCTTTAGATATTTTCTCTTCCTGAATTCCAGAGAAGCTCTCCCTGGTATGAGAAAAGATAAATTCTTACAGACACATTTGAAGGCTAGGAGGACCAGGAATGATAAAAGCCCTGAGAACCACAGGAATATCTTTTCCTAGGCCTAGTGCAGTTTTGAACCAATATGTTAAGTGCTTGACTTTGAAAATAAATTCTTCTAAGTCCTTCCACTACCTGGTATTTTGGGGGTACCTGTGTGGTTTCGACCCTTACATTAGAGATGGAATAGAGCTGAACTCAGTGGACTGAATTTGGTGAAACCGGTGAAAGTGGTGACTAGAAAATTAAAAAAAAAAGAAGGTTTTTAAACTTAATTTGCCTTTCTTCTTTCCATAAAAGCAATGGACTACACCAAGTAATCTGCCCTAAGGAGATTGATACGGATTGCTCTGTACAGCCTTGTCTGCCTACTGAATTAAACCTTTCCTAAGGAAAAAAATACCTGGAACTGCAATCTCACATTTGTCTTTGTTTTAACTGCACGTGTAGTAAGTATTCTGTACTCTTAAGCAGCACCAGGTTTCAGGAATTGCCAGAGACATTAGTGGATACATGGATGTTACAGACTTCTAAAAATGTTGGTTAAGATACTTAGGAGCTTAAGTCCCAACCCTTAAGTCCCCTTAGTAGGACTTAGATTACTTAGGCACTTCTGAAAAATGGGATATAATTAAGCAATTTATTCATAACCATAAGTTTTTTACGCCAAGTGAAAAATGCTTACATCTGTAGTTTGATTAATAGTTAGTTTTAATGTTGGTGATGAGACCTACTTGGAGCCAGATACAGTATCACCAAATAACAACTACTGCATGCTCAAAGGACTTCGGTTCTACACATTCAAAGCAGCAGCAACAACTTGCAGAGGTTTCTAGGCATTTCTGTAACTTAAGCTCAGTGCTGACTGGAGAAGCAGTTTTAATCCATTCCCTACCTGCAAAAGACCTTGTGACTTACTTTTATGAAAGACAGTAGGCAAGAAAAAAGCTATGCTGTGCCTGCTGTGAAGGCATGTCAGAATATATCAAACTAAAAGGGGCTTACTGTTGCAGCTATCAAGCTGTACACAGCACGGAATCACTGCATGTGAATCACTCAGCTTCTTATGGAGCTGGTAGTCATAGGGCACCAGGGACTTAGAAATATTAGTAATTAAAACTGAGTTTTAGAAGAACTTAAGCAGTGTGTGACTTTTCAAGCACTACTATTTTGAGAACCTAAGCTTGATCAAAATGAGATCAGTCATTTTTGTCTCAAAAAATCAAAATCAAAAGGCACTACGAATGGGGGAAACACATCTTTCTACCAGCAACAATTATCTTGCATCTTTCTGCTTATGGCAATTTACCTAAAACTCAGTTGCTGAACTTAGAGAAATCAACAAGTTTTCCCATTATCAGTACATGACCCTGCATTCCACAATGTACTATAAATTGGGGTACCTTAACAAGACTAAGGCTAAGTAGTCCACATACAAAATCATTTAAAAATGTGCCCAAAGGATTGTTGAAATGAGTTGGTTTATTCTTTATTTACACTGAGCAGGACATATAACCATGTTCAGTAACTGTGTCTGACCAGTGAGAATTTTCACTATATCCTACATTTAAGAGGCTTTTACTTACACCCGCATTGTTCTGTTGATAACAGAATAATCACTGAAATTTAAGTTTGTGCTTTCTTCATCTCCTTATGCATGCAGCAAAAGCACCTGATTCTTTTAATGTAAGATTTTCATAGCCATAAAAGAATTGAAGTATATCTCAGCACCAGAGTAAAACAGAGTGGATGTCATTATGATTTATCTCAGTTTTGAACATGCTAAATTGTATTAGAATTGTACATTCTAACATCTGCACCAGCCTAATTGAAACAATGCAAAACTCTTGGCATTATAGGATTGCTTAGGTAAAAGACCTTCACTTCCATTTCACTTTTCATAGTTGACTTACTGCTTTGTTTCAACTTCCTATCAATTCTTGCAGGAAGAGTAAGATATGACTCCTCTTCATGTTATTTCTCCATAAGATGCAGTTAAATCATTTACACAGAATAGTGTAAAACTTGCAAAAACCTTACATAGAATAGTACAGAACATACTTCAGTGTTTTGCTGTCTTCATATACAAATATTAATGTAACTACTAACAACTTTGATCAATTTATTTCTTGCTAAATATATTTTCAGAACTGTTTTCAGAACATAGATTGTTCTTCTGTGCACTTTCAAAACAAAGCATCTATTTTTAGTCATCAGAGATTGCATTATCCAAAAGAAGTGAAACTGCCATCTTAATGTGATCATAAATAAATTTAACAAAATACTATGCAATACCTGCAGCAAGCTGCTGCATGTAAAACTTTCTGATCATGCAAATTGCTAACAGATAATGCTTAAAAATGTTTAGTTCTGTTTCCTCCTTTTAATTAGATGGTTTAAATAAGTTTTTCCTTGGTTATTATGCTTTTTTTTTTAATAATAAGACATAATTCATCAGTTGTTCCCAAATCCTTTCACCTATTTTATTAGCTATAAAATATTATTCTAAATTGAAATCCAGAAAACACTATTGCAAAAAAATTAATCTTGAAGAAGACATTTCAAAAGTTTTCCACCTTTCTTTAGTTTGAGACAAACCAGCTGCAACTCCAGTCCTTACATAAATCTTGTAATTTGGCTTTGGCCAATGCTATAAATATGTTTACAAAACTTGTATACCATATGGAGCTGTTTACAAATGCTTATATTTAGAGCTTTTGTAGAAAAGGATTATTTGCAATGATAGAATAATAGTTCTCTGTGGACTGCACCTGGAAAGAGGAAGTGTCAACCAGTATGAACAATTTTTGAGTGATCTCTTAAAGAGAAACAGTACCTGAATTCTAAATAAACCCTAAATAGCATAGGTAATTATGTTACTATTTTAAACTTTATCTTCCCAGGTTTTGTATGGCTATCAGCCTTTGAC